GCATGACAGTATACTGTACAGTAGGATATGGATACTTTGCAAGGCACTGTTGTACCAGACACACTACTGTTTAGTCTTCTGACAGTGGTCATACTAACTGCATCTGCATTTGTGTGTGAATAAGAAGTTGAAGTGACAATAATTATTAAATAATAATAAAAAATGATAATCATTATTAAATACCAGAAAGCTTATATGTAATGTTGTGTTTCAAATATGCCACATTCCTTCAAGTTTGTCTTTGCCCTCTTGGTGGCATCACAGAAGTAGATTTGGAAATGAAAAGATGCTGTAAGACTGTGACAGTTCTAAGGATTGCCCCCACCCCAACAAATAACTTAAAGCAAAATGCCTAACCCAAGAGAATGCCAGCTTGTAAAAAAAAAAAAAAAACGACAACAAAAAAACCCAGAAGAAATCTGATATGGTCTTCAACACCTGACACATAGAACATTGGCATAGGGGATATAAGCATCCACCTTTCGTTGAGCCTGAAGTCCTGGCTGGACTGACGGTTTAGTGCTCAGGTTTCTGGATCTGGCTGACGCCTTTGAGCACACTTTAAATAACTGGCCCTTATTCTCCCTGGAAAAACTGTTGAACTGGATGTTCAAATTCATTACTATTTAGTAGTTAATTGGCTGCATATAATTTTTCTACTACATATGCAATAAATTGGTATTGTTTTAGGCAATTTCCACATGTGAACCTTTTGGCCAATTCATGTACTACAAATTAGCAACACCTTGTAATTTATTTTTCTTAAACTTTGATAATTGCATGGAATCTCTTTAGGAAATGTCCTGCAATGAGCATTTTTTGCTTTTTTTCCACAGATTTGTAAAAAAAAAAAAAATCTCAGACAGGACTGTTTTACCCATGAGAAAGGAAGGAAAAAAAATCTTGATGAATCAACATTTAAAAAATCTCTTTTCCTAATAGAGAGATAGTGGTCTGAAATACCATGAAAAGTGTTTTAGAGATTAATGTGTAATGAGCCATCTACAAATGAATAGCCCCTTTGAAAGCTGCATTGTAAATTTTCCCATGGATAATGCAGTTAATAAGCCCTGGTCACGCCACAAAATGTACCACAGAAGAGGCACTCATAGCCTCAGAGAAGAGGGATAATACGTTTCATTAAAGACTTGCCGATCTTTCCTCTCTACCATGATTGTCAAAATGGCGGTTTGAACATGACCAGACCTTGTTTAGCTGGCACATATTACACCAGCGTGTCCCCTGGCAAGACAAGTAAGATCACAGCTAAGATCAAACAAGGATTAAAGCAGAAAGTCATACTACTCATTCTTATAGAGAGAAACAGCAGAAGATATTCATTAATTTAATTTCCACTTTTTCATCGTTTCATCATCTTTTCATCATATACATTTTTGTTTTTAGATTTATATGTATCTACTTAAAGTACATAATAAACTCCAGCTTTTCTTCTTGTTTTAACAATTTTCATATTTTATATGAGAATATATATTTCTGTTAAGTATGGTAGAAAATTAATATTTAAGCAATTCCATAAATAGATATCCCATTTTTTTTAAATAAGCAATCAATCCTTTCGGAGTTATGTGTGATAAATAAATCTTTTCTTTGTAGATTAGAACTGGTTTTTTTTTTTCTTGTAACAAAAAAGGATGGTATAGTTAGAGAAAAGTCCATTATGACCTGGACTTTTAGAGTGCTGAATCTCAAGAAAATGTCTTCAATCTTTACTAAGCCAAAAGAACATAATTTCTACCATTATCGCCAAAATAAAAAAGCTAATCTGCTGTAGGAAAGCAAGCCCAACTTTTAGCTTGAAATAATGATAACCAAGCCAATGTCGAAAAATCAGAAACAGTGGTTTTGTTTGACAGATACGTCAATTGGTTAAAATCCTTTGCCAGACTGATCAACTGAGAAAGTCACCACAGTGCAGAGTATTTTTGGGACTTTCAGATGCCTGAAAGAGACTGTAGGTGTGAAAATCCTGATTTGTGTCTACGAAACAAATAAAACCCCTGATGTGTGGCCTGCTGCTAAAAGCTAGAGAAAAACTCAAGCATGGCATGACATTTATATCAAAATACCAACGAGCAAATAAACATACTCACATGTATGTTAAACTGTTTCTGCACATGGTTTATCTACCACTGCTTAACTAAATCACACATGCATAAGAAACTGCCGCTTCTGTTATGATCTTGGCACCTTTAGGATGGGTTTTTGCCTTGTTGCTCTCCTCTGCTTTGCTCCGGGCCTTTGCTCATTAGCTCTTATCACATCCACCCGTTCCTGCTGCTACTTAAGCCTCAGGACCCCAGCCTTTGGTGTCAGATTATTCAAGAGTCTTAGCGAAACTAACTCTAGCGTTCCCTGTGTTTAGTTTTGCCAGTTCCTGATCTGTTTTCTGCCAAAGGACTTTCTCCTCGTGTGAAATAAAATGTGTTTTGACAGGCTGGGTTGAGACAAACCTCTTCTGTGAGCCTCATCCTGAATGGGCCTTTCAGACAAGATCATACAGGAAGTATTGTCAGGAAACTGATCGATTTCAGTTTGTTCACGTTAATGACAAATCTTCCTCATGCTCAAAAGTCACCTGTGTACCACAGGGATCAGTGCTAGGACCAATTCTCTTTACTATATATATGCTCCCAATATGAAGAGTTATTAGACAGCATGGGATTCATTTCCACTGTTATACTGATGATACCCAGCTATATCTGTCTATAAATCCAGATGAAGCTAACCCATTACATAGGCATGTCTTGAAGACATAAAAACCTGGATGACTCTTCAGTTTCTGCTTCTGAATGCAGACAAAACAGAATTTATAGTCTTTGGAACATAGTCTTTGAAAAATAAGCTGATTAGTCAGTCACTTCATTTGGATGGGATTAAACTGACTTCAGATAATAAAGTAAAAAGTCTTGATCAGGACCTGTCATTTAAATCCCATATCAAANATAAAGCCTTAAATGGCCAAGCTCCATCTTATATCAGAGATCTGATTTTTCCTAACAGAGCACTTCGCTCCCAATCAGCAGGTTTACTAGTGGTTCCTAGAATTTCTAAAAGTAGAATGGGGGGCAGGTATCTTTGTTATCAGGCTCCTCTCCTGTGGAACCAACTACCAGTTTAACTCCGTGAGGCAGACACCCTTTCTATTTTTAAGGGTAGGCTTAAAACTTTCCCTTTTGATAAAGCTTATAGTTAGAGTGGCTCAGGTTATCCTGAGCTATCTCTATAGTTATGCTGCTATGGGCTTAGACTTCTGGAGGACATAGGGACCCCTATTTCATCATTCTGCTTCATTCAATCTATATTCTCCCACTCTGCAGAATTTGTTAATTCAATCTCTAACGTTATGCTGTCTCTGCTTTTTATCATAGTAGCTTTCGTCATCTTTTCCTGTTTGGCTGTGACACCATGCTGGAGAGAAATATAAGCTGTGCTGCTGCCACCTTTGTTTATAGATTTTGGAGATCTGCCTGTTTTTCCAGTGTAATACTGTTTCTATGACTGTGACGGGCTGGATGTGCTCTCTTCGTCCTCTGGCATGGGAGCTGGCTCAGAGCTCATCTGCCTGGCTGAGTGTTTCCTGGACAGGGCCACCTTTTATAGCTGCATTTTGTGTCTCTGCTTCAGTCTCCTTGAACCCCAGTCTGCCTCGGCAGATGGCCACTCACACTGAGCCTGGTTCTGCTGGAGGTTTGTTAAAAGGGAGTTTTTCCCCTCCACTGTTCCTACCAGCATGCTTAGTGTGAGGGATTGCATTTGAGTCAATGAGTCAATGCAATCAACTGGTTTTCCATAGATAGAAAACTGAATCAATTTGATTGTATGATCTGGTGAACTGTAAATTGCTTTGAAATGACATGTGTTATGATTTGGCGCTATATACATAAACTGAATTGAATAATGTCAGTCCATTGTAAAAAAAGGAAAATTGCACAGTAACACGTTTACACTGGGTTTTCAAAGTTATTATCGTAGTACTTAAAACTAAACAGATAGGTATAAAAAAAAGGCATAAATATTTAACTGTGCAGTAATCCACCTTATTACTATGGGGGGTAGGGAATTAGACACATGAAACAGTCCTTTGAGAGTTCTAATACAGTTGATAATTTGAAAACATTCAATATAGAAATGGGGTCTTAGAACAGAGTTGACAGTGACTAAAAAAGTTTTAATAGAGTGACATTTTATGGTGTTTTATCAGTCATAGCTTTTATACCTTTTGCAGAAAAATATCATGTTACCATGAGCTTTTTAAAAATAGTTAATAAATCCTCATAGTAGATCCTCAATAGCTAGTCTGTAACCCAGAGGAGCAGATTTTAGCATTACTGGAAAGAGCCACTTCAAAAAAGTATTGATAAATCGGATTTCTAAACTGTAGCTGGTCAGGCTATTCTTTTCTAGTATTATATTTGTCTGGAAATTATGCTGATAGACTCAAGATCAGCTGATTGGGTATTTCGACTAATTTGTTAGATTGATAACGTTACAGAACTCTACCAACATACCTTTTACACTGTTGTAACTTCACACCTTTTTTAAAAGTACTCTTGTAGAAGCGTAGGTACGCAATATCTCTTTATATCTGAAATCTATCCCACAGAATAAGTTAGAGTATTTTAAATTAAATGGGAGCTCCATCTGACTCATTTTTAGCCTTCCTTCCCAGTGTGGATTTACAGTGAAACCTCTAAATACAAAGTTATTTTATGTTTTAAAAGGAAGCTTGTACCAAAATTTCTATTTAGAAACATTTGTACTTTATACACAAAATAAAAAAATAAATAATTACTCCTCACTTCTCCCAAATCCCAGATGTATCAAATAGATTATAAGAGAAAAGTGCAGCTTGAATTCAGATTGTTTAACAGTACTCTATGGTTTTGGAAATCTCTTTGAATGTTTCTTAAACAAGAAGTCCTGAGCTAAACTCTGAATATAATCTGTTTATGTAAAGAAAGAAAGACTCTTGTGCTTACAGTCATGCTCTTCACCATCCCCTGAACTTTGGCAGCCATCTTCATCATCACAGTCTGTGGTGCTTCCTTGTTCTTCCCCGCTACCCAGTTCTTCCCAGATTTCAATTTCACCAAGTTCAGGGAACTTCTCCTGGGTTTCCTACAAAGAACATATGGCATCAGCATGACAAGAAGAACATTTTGGGCTAGAAATGCATTTTCAAGAGTTATGAGAGTTATGAGAAGATAAACAACAGGCCAGAACCACTGGGGGAAAAAGGAAGCTTAAAACAATATATAATGAAAATGGCAAATAAACAGCATAAAAGACACAAAACATTCCAAAATTATGAGAACTTGTACGATATATAAAACCATCCTTGGTTATATGGGAGAGAATTGTTCTATGTGTGCTCATTTCTAAAGATTAAACAAAGCCTATTTTTCTTGGGTGTATCAAGTTTTCTAAATGTTGGATTAAGCTCAAAATATCCTGGGGTAGATCAACATGGGTGTTTCATTACAACAAAGCCCCGAGGTGGTAGGATCGTGTGTTCCATATATTCCCAACCATCTTTTCAAAGAAGGATTTGCTCAAACAAAAAAAAAAAAAAACACCAAAACTTTCATTTATGCAAGCACTCTATTTGAATAAAATACAGATTTATGTTGGTCACATCATAGGGAATCTGTTGCACCCCAAGAGGTAGAAGAAAACTTAATCCAAACTATTGAATGCATGGAATCACAGACATTCTTTTAGTTGACGCTGCAGTTTTTACACATCATTCTGCAAAGACACTGGTACCATTAGTAGGACCAGCTGTAATAACTGAGATTCAGATGGGAGCTATATCTTGTAAAACATACCACGAGGTAAACAGGAGGAATAGAGAAGGAATTATTGATTAAGATTGGTGACAAATGTCCTTGCAACTGACACCAGACTACTGATTCACACACTTGGCAGTGAGTATTCTCCACAACAAAACCTTTTAGTACACTTTACATGCCTAAGGAGTGTTTGGGAAATAATGCAAATAACAGCTGGCATGTTGCAGTGCATGTATGGTATGTGGTAAAAACTAGGAAGCAAGGAAATTAGTTGCTACAAAGAATAAAATTAAATAGATAAAAAAAAACTCTGCCACTCTAATATCTGAAAAATATATTATTCGACATATACCAACATAGGTAAGAACATTAAATGAACAACTTAAAATGTTGGTAATAAATAAAGTTGTTGGCCGCTTTGCTATTAAAAAGGAGTATATTCATTATATTTATATTCATTATATTTATATTTTTTATCATTCATTCAAAGTATTCTTAAACTCTACAACTTTATACATTGTTAGGCATAATAGATCTATAAACTTCTCAAAAAATTATAGTTGTTCCTATATAAAATTTAACTCCTATATAATAGTATAAGACGCAATTCCATTTGTTAGGTGTAGGAGAATAGGAAGATACAGAGTAACCTAAGTAGATATAATAGCCCAGATTGATAATAAATAATAAAGTTAGTTTTGTCAAGAGCCAGGCTAATAAAGGAAATGCATGTTCTTTTTCAGAGGTAAAAGTTGCAGCAGGGAACTGAGTTTTTTGATAAGATAGCAGTGTTAAATGATGACAAAGGATAGATAACTGCCCACCTGGCAGACACATAGTACATTGAAGTAAAATGTTTTCCAATCTCATTGTCATTCTGTTGACACACTGAGCCACAGCTCTGTAACTGTACCATTTTTCTGCTAAACTTTGATTTAATCATGTTAAAGTTCAGGACTTAAAAATAAGTGTGGATATTTTGCTCTAGAGGAGGGATAATGCAAATGTTCCTTAAACTAGCATTTAAACTGTGCATTCTACTTGACCTCAAATGCAGCCATCGAACAAGACTTTTATCTGCGGCGATTGCGATTAAGCCCAAGCAATCACATACTAGAGCACACAGTTACTTGTTAATGGTATTCTTTTTCTGCACAGCAAACCTAACAACAAGACCTAACTATCAGTCAGTTAACACCAAAAATTGTAGTTAACAGCTGAGATATTTTTAGGGCCTGAGGTAAAGGGTCCTGAAACTGTTATGTCTTTAAGTTGTCAATTTTACCTTTATTCAATGTAAAATGAACAGTTGGTTTGCTTGATGTATTTTATGCATTTTTTTAATGAAGACAAACGCCTTCAGGTCATCTGGGGACACAGTATGCACTGGTTTGTGATCTGTTGTTAAAGATGTGTCATTATACATACAGAAGACATACAACGAAATTTCATCGAACAAATCAAATGGACGGCTAGTCTGAGCCGCTGCAACTTAGCCTGCTGCCACTATTGCCAACTTGCCAAGCATGTCTTTAGAGGTGGGATAAATTGGAGTGACGCAAGGAGAACATGCAAACTCTGCACGACACCACTGTGCCAATCTGCGTAAAGTATCAGACAGCATCCCGCTACAGCTAAAGAATTGAAGGAATTGAAGTGACTTAATGAAAATAAAGGGCTGATTGTATTCATTGTGATCATGGATCATGTCCAACCTATTCCTCACATGTAGCAGCAGAATTATAAACTGGTATAATTGCAGATAAAATGCCTCGGGTCTCGGTTCTAAGCTCCATTGGTGGATATAGTAGGTTTAATTTTAAAAACAACGGTTACAGGTCAAAACGAAGCAAGGCTGCTAATTGGGACTTCTCATAGTGAATAATAGGATGTTCATTGCTTGGCTATCCCCTGTAAAACACCATAAACAAAAACTTATCAGGCTAAGATTATCGGAAATGTTGGATTTCTGAGACTCGAGAATCGAGGGGTCCCAGTATTCCACTGAGTGTTACCCATCACCTTAACACACCACACACACACAATTATCAGGATCTCTCTCAAGGTGAAGATTGGAATACAAATAAATGTCCTGAATACAAAAGAAAAACTTCAGGGAGAAGGAATGCTTTTACCAAAACATTTTTTTTAAAACATGCTTAGAAAACCAATCCATACGATGAGAACCGTATATATTTTAGGACAGGATAAATAATTTCCACTGATAATATCTACTCTTTACTGTATGTTTACCTGATCTTGATAAAGTTCTAATTACTCACATATGTCAGAGTAGACAGAGATTTTAGGAGTAGCAACACTTTACAAGAATATTAGTCAAGTAAAATTATAGGGTCAAATACATGGTTTTATATATATATATATATATATATATATATATATATATATATATATATATATATATATATATACACTGGAATTCAGTATGAATAGGCTACGTGTGTGACTGATCTAAGAGGCAACAATGGGTGGGGTGCAGGCATGTTAAAATGATGAGTGAAAAGGTAAACCCCTTGTTGATATCAGCCCTCAGAGAGAAATTTGCAGACTGTTTTGAGAAGATTGAAAAGGAAAATCTCAAAATCATATCAACCATAGTCACCACCCACCCTTGTTTTGTTTTAACTGCTGAAGAGATTTTGATTTATCCAGACAAGTTATCATAACCAAAAAAAAAAAAAAAATGGTATGTATAATTAATCATACATTATCAGTAAAGAATATCTTTTTATGATTTCAATGTAAGACAGGTAAGAGAAAATTAAAGTTCTCAAAATCAGATGAAACAAATTATTATAAAACTAAATAGAGCTGACAAGCTTTTCCAAAGTGTATTAAGTACTGTTATTTTTTTGGACAGGTTTTAAGCAGCAGCTGAGCAACACACCCTTACACTACATGCTAGCACAAGCTTATTGTGTTACTAAATGTTAGTGACACCCTATTGGCTGTGACCTTATGTAATATTATGAATCATTCACAACAATGTTCTGTTTTGTTAGGCTGTTACACCCTGCACCTTTCACATGTTCAGTTAAATAAGCTTTGACTTATGTTTGGTGAGTGACAGATTTCATTTAAAAAAATGACAGTTTGAGAAATATCAGCATTTTTTCAGAGCATGTTGCAACAGCTCCTTGAATAACAAAAACAAAAAACGTTGAGGGAAACAGCAGGCTGATCTTGTGTTTCTGGGAACCTGTAGTATTTTTGACATCAAACTGAGATCAACTTGTTCTCTAAAAGCTGCTCTGACAAGGTACCATTTGAGGTCCCTAAACATGAATGCCCATTGTAATGGTAATAATCAGCCCACATGCTGGATTAGAACATGAAGGAGAACAGCCTCTACAGAGCATTTAAGCTTAACATTTAAATTGTCACTTAAAGACAAATGTGACCTACTTTTCTACAGATTATAAAATGCATTCATATTCTTCAATTTTGTTTTTAAATTTTCCAACCCTAAACAATAAGTGTCTAAATGCATTTAAACAACCATAGGTGGGCATGAGCATTAGAGTCAAAGCCAGAAAGGCTGACCCACCTAAAGTGCCCACAATGATGCCCTTCATATGTATTTCTTGCTAATGTTATAAATGACACTGACTCTGGTTTTCAATAAAATTGGGCATAGCCCATCCCCGGCATGAGAGGACCCATCCTGGTTATGATCTCTTCCCCAAATTCCTATGTAAAGGAGTGACCCATACCCTGTTCTCCACCCTCCACCTGGAAAACAAGGGTCCAAGCACCTCAGTATCCAACCGGACCAAGCCTCAGGCCAAACATTCCTACTAGGGAATGTAGCCGATCAAAGGTGTCCAGACTGATTGATTTAGTGATGAGGCAGAGGCTATTTCTAGATTAATATAATCTAACAGAAGTTGCAAACGACAAACCGAGTGCTTCTCTAGTTTAAAAATGAGTCTAGGAAAATCTATTTAAAAAAATCCACATCTTTGAATTTAATTATAATGGCAAAAAAATGTTATGGTCAAATCCAGTCTGGCTTCAGAAAGTTTGGTTGCCAGGCAAACACAGAGTCCTGTGTAGAGAGACCTGTTACTGTATTGTTGCCACAGCAGCAGGAAAAAAGAAGCAGAGCTCCTGTGAAGACTACATTCATCATCGTTTTCAAGTGGAAAGAATTTGTCCCCTCCCTGTCACATGCTGCCAGCTCCAGTCTCCAGTAACTCTTAAAAGCTCAGAACCTTGTAGAACATGCAATACATAAAGTGACAGCAAGTAAGATCAGAACATATATTACAGTTTTGCACATGCAATATGCAAATTAGTATTAGA